ATATTGTATAATATTTAAGACTCCTAATACAATTTTGCTTGTCTTTCAATAATTTCTACTGTTTTATCAAATTTTATATTTATCATATAGTCCACATATACATGTATGTATATTTCAGAATAGGACATATAAAAGATCTATTCTATCTAATCCATATACTCTCAACATACTTTGGGTCTATTGTATTTTAGTTTTTACAAAAAACTAATATTTATCATGTATAAGATTATCATGTATACCAATACAACAAATGTATTTAATTTTTCATTGAATAGTTGTTTTCTTCTCTTCTTTGTAGTTGTTTATATTTGCCTTTCTAGCTATTTGTCCATCTAAGAGCCTATCTGTCGTATCTATTTGCTGTATTTGTCTATTAATCGCTGTCAACCGGTTTTATGAAAACTGTTTGCGTCAGGTGGAATGGGAGATATCTATATGAAAAATTGCTTTACCTCAATATTTGGCTCTTTCTTTCATTCATTGCCCTCCCCATCCCCTGACCATGCTCCGTCCCTTTCTCACGCTTACAGACCGGATCGGTTCAGCTCGATTTGGGGTTAACACACTTTGATTTCTTCAATGTTGTTGTTGTTGTTGTTGTTGGTACAGCCGGTTCTTAGTTCTTGATTTGTTCAAGTGTTTGAACGTTTAGATCTATCTTGTGATGTTATTTCTATTTCTATTTCTATTTCTATTTCTATTTCTATTTCCATTTCTATTCAACTGTTGCCACTTGCCACTTGCCAGTGGCCAGTTGCTGCTGCCACTGCACAACTGGTCAATTGTTGGGGCAGAGATCTGTGCAATGGCGCGCGTCTTCGTCTTCATCATCGTCTTCGTCAGCATTTGGGGCTTGGACATATTTGTGCGCTTATCAGATTTATGCTGCCTCAATTGCTGCGCCGACAGCCGCACGTCTCCAAGTGGATTCAACGTTGTTGGCTTTTGCTTTGACTAATTTTTGACAGTTGACACGTTGCCAGTTGCCAGTTGCCAGTCAAGCAACAACAACAACAACAATAACAATAAAAGAACAAAGCCCATATTCTGCGATTCGAGCTGAGGAATTGCGTCTGCGGCTCATTTGCCCAACTACTTCAGTGGTCTAAAACGACACTTGAGTCAATAAGCGGACGCATTGAATAGCCCAGACAACGGAGCACATCGAGATCGTGACTTCAGGCAACCAGCTGAACACGCCAAGGGGCATGGCCCAAGGGGCAGGGGCACATACATAAGCATAAGCAAGTGCCCGGCAGCTAAATTATCATGCCATATTCTGGCCATATTTATTTGGCAGCAAGACTCACGAAAAAATTAAGCATTTGCCAGTCGACTGCACACGACTCGACGATACCCTGTAACTACAAACTTTACTATGCTTAACTAATCAAGTCTTCTCTTCTCTAGAGAGACATACGGAGAGTAGAGCACAGTAGAAGTCACATATCAGATATTTATCGATAAGCGATAAACTTGATGGCAATCGAAACTTGTAAAATTTGAGAGATATATTTATTTATCATACTTGCAGATATCAAGGCTCTTGAGCCTTCTAAGCTATTCCCATTTACAGGGTATAGAAATGTAGCGAGGCCTTTTTGGGGTTTTTGATTAATGGGCTCATGAATTCGCATTGCGAGCGGTTTCTAAACCGGAGGCCCATAACCTATGGAAATTGTCGCCTCAATCAGCGGCCATTCATCTACATCACGCCCACACAATTAACACAAAACAGTGAACACTCCCCGGGGTGGGCAGTGGGGGCTGGGCGGGGCAGGCATTGCCAGCGGCATCGGCAGTCAAATGTGGCCAAGAGTTATTTCTCATATTTCGGTTATTTAGGGAATGTGGGGGAGAGGTGAGGGGGGGGGGG